TCTCTCAGTTAACTGCATATTCTACACATGCACAAGCTTCATTCACCATGTCTCTGGCTCTTGTCCCCATCCAGAACATCAGCTGTGCAGCGACATGATCTTCAGTTCATCTATTTACATCTCATTATGCCATTGCCTAACAAGCCAGGAGGGAGAATGCTAGATTCCGTAGAGCAGTGCTTCAGATAACTACTTGGGAATCACCTACTTAGAATCGACATGGGCAATCACTTGAAGAAGGAAAAAAGGTTACTTATCTCTTGTAACTGTTCTTTGAGATGTTTTGTTCATATCTATTTCAAGACCCACCTGCTTCCCCTCCTTTGGGATTTTCCGGCAAGAGGGAACTGCACGGTGAGTGGGTTGGCGATGGATTATATAGAGCACCGTAATGCCACTCCAGAGGACTCCACAGCCAATCTGGCGGGTACTACTAGGGTAAAAACCTACCAAAGACTGTGCATGATGTGAGTACGCTCCTATTTGGAATGGACAAGAACAACGTATCTCAAAAAACAACAGTTAAGAAATGTTTTGTATTGCTACGTGATTTAGAAAAAATATGGCAGCTGTACCATATTTTTAGATCTGTACCAACAAACTTACTAACACTAAGCCTACACAGATTCATGCAGTATTTTCATTCATCTTTTAAATTGCCACATCATGACTTCATTTGGTGAAATTACTTAATTTGAACAAACATTAATTTTGATGAATTCAGAACTATTCTGATTGGAGTGAACATGGATATGGAACAGGAGTCAGGGTTACCTTTTTTTCCCCCCCAAGTATGTATGGGACCGCTGGCTTGGAGTCCCATCTCATAAGCCTTTGCCTGTGAAATCCTCTTTTCTACCTTTTTGCTTGCCATCATGATAAAAGGCACTATGGTGAAGGCTTTATCTTAACTATAAATCATTAGATTGGAAACTAACTTTAAAAGAAAAAATATTTAACATGAATGAACTTCTTGATAGTAAATATAACTCTCCATTGCTTTAATAGTGAAAAAAATACCGAAACTGGGAGACGGGAATTGGAAATCAGTTCATAGATTTTTTGATTTTTTTTTTAAAAGGCCAAAAGGGTTCATCTAATGATTAGCAAGGCTTTCATGCTTAGGAAACTCACCCAAAAATACTTTTGGAAAAAAACCTCTGCATTGACCTAAATTCCACACCATTGAAATCAATGATAAAAATCTCACTTATTGCAATGGGAAAGTTAGGCCAACACTGAGCATTGTTTTTCCAGTTCTGGGCTTTTTCTGTACAGAAGCTGTCTGTTACACTGACCTATTGTTGACTTTGCTATCCACTGAATATGAGAATAACCTTTAACACATAACCTAATTTTTTTATTTTATTTGCTTATTCAAATTGTATCCTTAGCTCTATGAGCACTGTGCTTTATTAATGCCTGCAGTAACACCATTTTAAAATGGGCTATGCAAGTAACATTTGTTTTCCGAAAGTCCCTGCTTACAGTCCCCCACCTCCCCAGATTAATGAAATCAAGACTAGAGACTTACCTTCCCTCCTTTTCCCCCCAATTAATTTCTTTTACTGAATAATAATTCCAGTAAAATTCATCAGTTTTTGTTGAATACTACTTCACATAATTCTTATTTAAGTTGTCTTTTCTAAATATGAAAAATTGAATCAATTTCGATAGTAGTAGGTAGAATTCACTTAAAGATTTCTGCTTTTGAAGCAGTGTTGTCATTGCACTACATAGAGGCGTATGAATAACATTGTGTCACTTTGCATTCCCATTCTCAGCCAATTTTGGTATACTTTAAGAATGGTTTTCAAAAATGAGATCGTAAGCCCCAAGGGCTTCTACTGTATCAGACATCTTTTAGTGAACTTGTTACTTAAGGCATATTGTTTCCAAAGCCCCATGTTCTTCCCTCCAGACAAATTGCATTATGTGTTACCAATAACAATGCCATGTCATTTTATAGGAAACTAAATTAAGCAATACAAGTTCAGGTTATTGGAAACGAGATGATGCAGTAAAAAATAGTATTTTGGTTAACATTGAAAGAATGCATTCACTTAATGGCTTAAAGTAGGAAAGTTTCTTTTTATTACTTACATTTTCATAAATGGATTTCTATCCATCAGTCATAGCCCTGTAGGTAATTTAAACTGGAGCGTTTCTTGTTTTTGTTTTATTTTATTTTAGGTTTTGGGGGTTTTTTTATCCTAAAGACAGATTAGCTGTCTTCCTCCAGCAATGAAATTTCTGAAGGTCACTGTTGCGTTTTCTTTTCCAGCATGATCATTGATGTGTAAGTAGATAAAATTCAGGTTTGTCTGGAGGAGTTGGAAGGCTTAGGCTATTGGAATTTGGATTTGCAGCTTTGGTTCCTGGTGCCATTCCAGATCAGTAACAAAACAAAAACAGACCTTCTTTAATATCTGCTAGTCCAGTCAGCCAGTATGTAATGAGTTAGTCATTTCTGCAGCAATTTCCTGAGGACAGGTTTTTATTTTGGTTTGGTTTTTTGACATTACAAAATCCCTGTAAATAGGACTAATTGGTGATTGGTGTTTTTTGTTGGCAGTCTCCTCAGAGAGACATGGAATAGACATAGCAAGTGAATGAATTTTTCACCTCAGAAGTGATCTCTAAATTTCAAAGTATCAATGGAGTAACACAGATAAGCTTGCGTTCCTGCTTCCCTTGCTGTAGCTCTTCTGTGGATAGAGTATAATTTCTACAATTTTCAGTATGGTATCTTTCATGAATAGTAAAGTCATGAAATAATTTTGAAATTATCAAGTACAGCAACGACGAGTGTAAACTTATTCCACGCTTTCTCACCCAATATGTGTCAGTCTTAAGCTTGGAGAAAAGAAGGTAGACTCCATAAATTATGCTGCTTTTAAATTCTGCATTTTAAATACAAGAGACCAAGTGTGTGCTAATGTTGACTCTGGTCCTGCAGTTGGCCCAGCATGTGTTTGTGGAATCAGATGGTCTCCAGTGCGATTCCACATAAACTCCCGGGTCCTCCCATCTGGCTCCAATTGCAGAAACATATATTGGCAACCTCAGTTTTTTCAGTTTTTTTTAGAAACATATATTGGCAACCTCAGTTTTTTTAAAAAAAATCCCCAAATCTATAGTCTTTAAAAAAATATTTTGATAAGTTCATTTATATCTAATTTAAAATACTGACTTTGTATCGGGTGTACCATTTCCTGAATTAATTTTAAGATGTTGTCAGCTATTATTTGTAGATGTACATGAGCTCAGCTCTGCCTCTTTATGAAGTGAAGTATTTAGTCTAGTTGGGATGAAGTTGTTGCCCAACAAACATTGGCCTGGGTGCCAGATTTTAGTTTCTAGTAAGGAAACACAGAGGTGGCAGATTCTGATTGCCAGAAGCAAATAAGGAGAAGTTTATTGTAGTCTTTTCTTTCATTTTGTGGTCCATCATAGCATGATGAGGCATTTGAGGAGTGGGAAGGCAGTGGGATTAGTGGTTCTAATTAACACAGATTAGGGAATGCGAGTTATGGGTGGCTAGTTTGGCAAACTAAAAAAATGTTATCCTTATCATAAATGATTATGAACAGCTGTTCCTTACAAATTGCTATAAATTCCAATGCTAGAACAATTAGAGATAGTTTATGTATATTATATTGCATTTTGAAGGAACTAATCCTAGCTAGGTTGAGTAGTTGCAGTGGATCTGTATTTTGCAAACCAATAGTGCAAAAAAGAACTAGTGAAACACATGTCCTTTGTCACATTGATCTTTTTTTATTTCATATGGCTTTTCATCATCTGCCTGAGTTTTTTGTCCTTTTAGGATCCAGTACTGCAAATAAACATGTAACTTTTTTCACCTGAGTAGTCTCATTGAAATCTAGGGAATTCGAGAATCAATGCCATACACTAAATTGTTTGAAGTAGGGACTGTCTAGCTGTATGGCCTCAGAGTTCCTGGTATATTTTGGGTACAATTGCAATATAAATAAGAATGTAATGGAGGAGGATTACATGAAAACGGGAAAATATATTTTTAGGGTTTTTAACAGATTTCTCTGAAATTCTTGTTCAAAGGACACTTGTGTCTAAGGAAACTGATAACATAGTAAAAGGTTTAGTGTCTTAGAGAACTGAAGATTCCAGGGAGATCTGAATCTTTAGTTATGCAACATTATCTCATAATTTTTTTCTTTAAAAAACAGAGGAAGTGTTTCTCCTTTTAATTAATGAACCAAAATAATTTGATTTTTAATCACTTAATACTAGTGAGATTAAATTAACCCAATCTGAAGGGTGAATGCCAGGCTTTCTGCACTACTTAAACCGTCATAAAGGTTCCACAAGGTTAGCTTCTTAGAGGTTCCACTGGCCTAGCAGCCATGCAAGTATGCCTCATGCCCTCCGCTGCTGCTGAAAATCTCTCTGCTCTCAGCATGCCTAGTCCACCATATAATACAGCAGTGGGGGCAGACTCGCAAGAGTTGTGTATCCACATCCCATACAGATGTTTACAGCTGTGGTTTTAAGCTTATAGATTGGAACAGTGGCTGTGGAATGGCTATGTAGCAGCCTTGGAACCTGACACTTGGCTGTTTTGTGGATTTTTTTCTTGTCAGTCTACTTCATCTGCTTAAAACTGAAGGATGCTGGGCTAGATGGACCTTAGGTCTGACCCAGTATGGCTGTTCTTGTGTATGGAAACAAGGTGGATTTTAACTAGAGGGTGTAAGTACTACTAATCGGTAAAGAGAAGATTATGTAGCTAACTTCTGATTTACATCTCTCTTTAAACAGAGAAATCACATTTGTTTTCCATGTTCTTTCTCAACTTAAGAGTTTGACACTTATTAAACATCTAGAAAAGTCTTTTAAAGTTATCGTTAATACTTTTAAAATCCAATAAAATCATTCTTATTGAACACTTAATTATTACATAGTGTGCCACTGAAACTAATATAGTTATTTAATTTTATATATTTATTTTTATTCAGATTGTTTGAAGGACGGTCACCAAGGAAGCCGGAGAAGCTTAAAACACTTTTCTGCTACTTTAGAAGAGTCACAGAAAAAAGTATAGCCTCTTATTAATTCATTTCTTTTGAATACTGTGAAATATGCCACTTAGTCTGACTTTTACAGCAAACACATAAGGAATACATAATACATGGACAAATTTATGGCAATACAATGTTATAGAGAATGTTTTGAAAAAAGTATTCAAGAATTTGAAAATACTGATTCCCACAGGAACTGTTGCTTTGCCTGGAAGTAGAGAATATATAAAATATTGAATTATTGTGTAAGATGCTAACTGCAATGCATATCTACAAATTCTTTCTCTCTCTCACACACACATTCATTCTTTAACACTTTTGTATGTGTACATGAGTATGTTGTTTAGTTGTAGCCATGCTGATTTCAGGATATTGGAAAGAAAAAGAAGGTCAAGTAATAATTTTTATTGGAGAAATTTCTGTTAGTAAATAGGATTAGCTATGTGGGCCACACAGAGTAATTTTCCCAGACCTGAAGAAGAACTCTGTATGGTTCAAAAGCTTGTATCTCGCACCAACAGAAGTTGATCCATAAAAGTTTTTTGCCTCACCCACTTTCTCTCTAATATGGGATGGCATGCCAATTATAAGAATATTTGGAAATTAAAATATATGTACACTTGAATCTCTTCATTTTGGCAACCTTGGGAAATAGGCTATGCCGGATTATGGAATTTTTTGTTGCATGGGTGTTCACCATAAAGCTTTTGTACAAATTTTCATAGAGTACTGTAGATGTATAACATGTCAGAAGATGAAATCCTTAATGCACTATATTGAAATGGTTATTGGGGATGGAAGTGCAGAATCTGGGAAGGCCATGCAGGGTTCCAAACCATAGGTATTCCCAGATCAGACACCTGGATTGAGGACGTTGAAGTGTATTAACTTAATTATTCCATATGCTGCTAACTGCCATTCTCTTTCTTGCCTATAGAGAGAGCGCGCACATTCAGGCATATAGCAGCAGTTGTTAGACAACTATAAATATATACACTCAATGTCAAAATAATGGTTTCAGGAAACTAACTTTGAATTTAATTGCTTATGTGGTTCCAAAATCTCAGCTCTAAATATTGCAATGGGGGAGGGGGCGTGTTTCATTTTTCCTCAACCACTGCTATTCTATTCCCCCCATTAAAAGTTCATAAGAGAGCTGATTCGTATTTTAAAAGAAACCCACTAAATGAACATCCCAGCAAGACATTGTGCACCCTCAACTCTCATGGAACTTAACTGGATTTTAAGGCAGCAAATTGCTCAGAGTGCCTGTGTGTAATTGGACATTCCAGTAAGATTACATAAGCTATCTGAGATTCAAGTTAATATGCTTAATTGAAATTTCTTACATTGTCATGGGGCACATTCACATAAACTTGTAAAAATATATATATGTGGCTGAGCACTCATTGGAGTACACATGTACCCATGATGCTCTAGTTGTATGCATAGTCATTTGTATAATATATATCTTAATTATATCTGAAGTATCATATCTTTTGTAATGTTAAATATTTTTAACTACTCCCAAAATTGCACCCAAAAAAAGTTCCTGTTTTACCTGACTCAATTACTCTTTGACTTGAGGACTTATACTTCCATTATGCAAACTAGTAGAACCACATCCTAAACTGGATATAGCTTCTAAGGTCTCACTGAAGTCAATAGATATTATTCACTTAGGTCATAAGCAGAATGTGACACTATGTATGTGACTTGGTGTATAGCTTTACTGCATTTTTACACGTGAGTGAAAAAATGTTTATATGCAAACTGAATTGCAGCAACCTCCTACTTCTAAGTTATATGGCTGCCCTGCCTCTTTATGTACTTAAAATCAGATGGGATTACGTTGCATGTAACTGGTGAATTAGCATTTTTTATGCTATAATTCCAAATAATATTTAATGGGATTCTTAAATGTTTTGCATTAAATTAGTAATTTGTATCACATTTTCAAATAGACCTGTTTGGTTCTGTAGGTTTTTTTTTTTTTTTTCCCCTCGTATAATGAATTAAGACTGAAGTAATTTTGCCCTGGAAATGAGTGGAAATTAAGTGTTTAATTCCCCAGTCTTTTGTTATAAATAATAACAGAGTTCCTTGTAACAGAATACATTGGAGCGTATGTAAACTAAAGCTTACTACTCAAAACATATGCTTAATTTGTGAAACATTGCCTTCATAATATTACAGAACCCTTCTGCAGAAACACTTAATACAAGACCTTCTGTTTAAAAAATAAGCTAACCTTTTTTTTAAAAAAATTTTTAATAGCCACACACAATTTCTAACAGCATTATAGGAATAGTTAACACTTTCTAAAGAATAGGTTTGTTGTGCTTTCCTAAATAATTAGAAGTCTTAAAATATGTTTTTATTCCAATGGCACCACAATTGCCTCTAACAATTTCTAAGAATTTCTCACTCTAAGAATATTTTTTCATGGAAGAAAGATGATTGCTTTTTGGACAAAGAACAGATTGAATAAAAAAATGTTTCTTCCAAATATACACAAACTGATCTTTGCTGCTGCAACTTTTAGTGAAAGAAAAATTACATAAATAAAGGTTTCCAGCCAATGGGAGTTCCCTATTTGAAGGACAGGCAGCATACAAAGTACAGGCTGACCTCACTATAAGTCCAAGATATGTTCCAAAAAACTTGGACTTATAATGAAACAACTTAAAGCAGGGAATTTTTTCCCCACAGCTGATTTCAATTTGTGCAAATCTTTTTTTCACAACTTAAGAGCAGGGAATGCTTAAGAGCATCAGGTCCTACAAGCATCAGCAACTTTACATCCGTTCCGCACTAAGCCAGGGCGACTTATAGCAGGAGCACCCTGTAATCCTCCCCCGGGCTCACAGCATTCAGAGCACTACACATGGCCCCCGCCTGGCTGAGTAACCTGGTAGGCAGAGCTGCTGTCTGGGAGCTATGCAAGTGCGTGCCTTCCAGCCAGACCCTGCCTCTGGCTCCCCAAACTGTCCCTTCCTCCAGCCCAATGCCCTGCCTCTTGTACCTCTGCTCCATGTAACCCAAATCATCTGTACCTTTTCTCCTGTACCCATACTCTCTTCTTCACTCCTCCGGATCACAATACTCTCCCACACCTTACACCTCAATCTCCTACCCCCCAGTCACAACCCAGATTCCTGCACCCCCTCCTACCCTTGTGCCCCAGTTCGTAACCCCTTTCCAGATCCTGCATCCACTCCTACACTGCTCCTTCAGGCCTTGCAACCCTCCTCCTGCTCAGAATCTTCTCCTGAACCCATCCCCCATCATGGACCTTATACCCCAGTCTCCTGCCCCTGGTCACAACCCTTTCCTTCATCCAAATTCCCTCCCAGATTCCACACACCCTCCTACTCTGCAGTCCCTTACTCCAAGCTCTCTTCTGCACCCATCCTCCATCCCAGACCCCACACCTCCTCCATTAATATCATGCTTTGAGTGGCCCCTCCTCAATAATTATTGCCCACCTTGCTCAGGATCTGAAGTCTATTTTTGCCTAGGTCACTGCATTCTGCTCTTACCAGTCCTGCCAAGCCAGTCTCATGTTTCCAAGCTTAAGTGGAATATTTGAGAAATAACATGATTTCCTTCTTTGATCTTATATTGAGCGGGGGGGAGGGGGAGACACTATCAAGTTTTCAAACTGGAAAGGAACATAAATCATACTCCCCACTTATGACATGTCATATCATCACTTTACTTTTGCTGGCTGATTTAAAAAAATAGATATAAATGAAAGTGGGGACATGGAGGTGAAAGTCTCATCACATATTTTTCCATCAGTTTCAGCACTGACAATTTCACTGATGGAAATCAAACTGGTTTTCCTTAGGAGAAACAAACATTTATTTTAATTAGCATTTTTATTTTACGTTGCTTGTTAATATTTCTGAATAAGAACCATGTGTTGTAGTCTTAGTCTCTGCATGATTTAAGTGGTAAGCTTTTAAAAATTGAAACATACAGCTGATTAATGTATGTTTTACTATTTTTATTTGTGTTTAAATAGAACCAACCGGATTGGTGACATTTACAAGACAGTGTCTTCAAGACCTTCCAGACTGGGAAAGGTAATTTAAAAACATCTCTGTGTGAGAAATTGTTTTAATTGCTTGTGATGACTTAGGGCCTCTTGCACCTCCTATTAAAGTCATAGACTCCCAGGGTACGTCTAAACTACATGCCTCTGTCGGCAGAGGCATGTAGATTTGTTTTTTTGGCAAAGGCAAATGAAGCCACGATTTAAATGATCGCGGCTTCGTTTACATTTACATGGCTGCCGCGCTGAGCCGACAAACAGCTGATCAGCTGTTTGTCGGCTCGCGCGCTAGTCTGGACGTTCCCCCTGTCGACATCAAAGCCCTTTGTCGGCAGCCCCAGTAAACCTCATTCCACGAGGAATAACTGGGCTGCCGACAAAGGGCTTTGATGTCGGCAGGGGAGCGTCCAGACTAGGGCGCGAGCCGACAAACAGCTGATCAGCTGTTTGTCGGGTCAGCGCAGCAGCCCTGTAAATGTAAATGCAGCCGCGATCATTTAAATCGCAGCTTCAATTGCCTTTGCCTATGTGTCTAATCTACATGCCTCTGCAGACAGAGGCATGTAGTCTAGACACAGCCCCAGTGACTTTGTTGGGAGTTGGGTCAGGCTCTTAATATGTATGGATCTTGTATGGATCTTTATGTATTATCTTGTATGGATCTTTATTCTTTTTATTCATCGAGTTTGGGGGGAGGGAGAAGAGTCAAAAGAATTGATGCAAAAACAGTTGGGAGGGGTGTTACACACTGCGGGGGTTGTTTCAAATTTCTAACTTGATCACATGTATTTCATTTTGTTGGTTCATGATTTAAATGAGTATTTAAATGGTGATATTTCTATGAACATGTGCAGGTATGTATGTGGGGATGGGGAATGTCTGGGTGTGATGGTTCATCTGAAGCAGCAACGACAGGACTTTTAATGCAGTTGTTCTCAAACTGTGGATCACAATCTTCTTTAATGGGGTTGCCATGGTTGGTGTTAGATCGAATGGGATTTGGGGCCAAAGCTGAAGACTGAGCCCTACTGCTTCAGCTTCGGATTGCAGGCCCTCTGCCGGAGGATAAATAAAGCCCAAGGGTAAATAAAGCTTTGGCTTTGGCCCTCCCTTCCCCCCACAGCAGGGCTAGGGTTGGATCAGTCTTCAGTCCTCCCTCCTGGGGTTATATAATTATTTTTATTGTCAGAAGGGGGACACAATTCAGTGACATTTGAGAGCCCCTGCTCTAATGCAATAGGGCTGACAGGCAGCACGAAAATTTGATTTGCCAGCTATTTCCTTGGTTATTCCAATTTCAGCAGCAAACACTCCAAATAGGATGGTGGCTGTTTGTGTGGAAGCGTTGAGTTTTAGATTTAAGTGATGTTTGCAGATGTTGGAGTTGTTGGGTTAGGAAAAATTTTTGGAATTGGAATTCTAGAATCAATGTGCTATAATAATTCCTATACGTTCACTTTTGATTTATTTGCTATATGCTGTATATTAACTATAATTTAAAATATGCACCCTTCTTAGATATATTGTGGACTGAAAGATCTGCTACAGTATCTTGCAAATAGCGTGTCATGGATTTCTTCCTTTTAGTTTCACCAGTTCTCAAATATACTATATGAGAAATGCATGGTAACTCATGCATGATAGCATCTACATGTTTTCTTAGTCTTTAAGGTGCTGCTATTGTTTTAAGTTTAATACTGTTTAACTATTCATTGTTTAAGTTTTCCAGAAACTTTGAAATGTGGCACAGAAGAATTAAGCCACTATTTTAAAAAGATGAGTCAATTTATAATGTCGTCTTAACTCACGAATTGTAGAAGTAAATAGATATATATGTATTGATCAGAAAAGATGCTGTCATTTTGGGGTCAAAAACATATTTTTTTAAAAACAATCAATTACTGTAAGTCTTGGTGTACATAAAATCATGCATGTTTAGTAATAACAGAGTACACATGCTTACTCTAGTCTTTCAGGAAGCGGAATACTCTTACAATTGTATATATAAGGGGCCAGAACTTCTGCTGGTGTAAATCAGTTTAGCTCCATTGACGTCCCTGATTTTTTCCCCAGTCTACTCCAAATTATTTTTCAAAATTTGGCCAAATGTTCTGCAAGATAATTTTTTTCTTATAATGCTTCTTTTCTCTACTTGTACAATATGTTCAGCTACTATTTAGGGGCATGAAATACACAATTGTGTGCTTTTTCATTGATGATTGAGGATATAGACATATTTCCCATTAATCTCAATAGAAATTGAGTGGCTAATTTTTGTACACTGACAAAACATTTTTTCTCGTATGCTAAAATGCAATCTAAGACATTACTAATATGAATGTATTTTAGTCTATATACTAACCTTTAGATTTACTGCATATATTGTTAACAAAAGTATATGGTAGATTAGAATATTCTATCTACAACACTTGGTGATCAACCTATAAAATTAAGTGATTATTTTAATTTACAATTCTGGGTGGAAGTTAATTAAAAAAAAAGATCACTGATCCAAACAATGCCAATTTTGTGCAAATCTGAGGCGGAGTAGCGGGCTGAAGGGCATAGTTCAGCAGAAATAGTCTCAGCAAGCCATGAGATTTTTTTTTTTTTAGCAGCAGCAAATCTTTATTAGCAGAGATTTAAAAAAGTTACTGTAAACAAAAATTAAAACAAAAATTATAACAAAAAGATCCCCCCCAGGTGAGGTTCACTCAGGCTATGACTATACTACAGCTTAAGTCGACATAAATTATGTCACTCGGGAATTTGAATTAACCACCCTACTCCTGAGTGACATGATTAAGGCTGATTTGAAGTGCTGCTGTAGACAGCACTTAGTGCAGTGGGAAAAGCTCTCCCGCCTACATCGCTATTGCCGCTCAAGGAGACTGGAGTAATTAAGCTGCTGGAAAAGCTCTCTGGCTTACAGCAGCTACAGAATACTGCTGTAAACACTCTAGGTCATAACCTCAGTAACTAGGTATGGAGTCTTGCCTTCCAACAGGCATGCTTTGTCTTTCCAGAATGCCTGGCTATAACTCTTCTCCTGAATTACTGAGAAACAGAAAAGGAAACTGAAGCTGTAGTTATTTCTTTGTTTATTGGGGACTGAGTGGTGCCTCTGCACCCAGCCACATCCAGGAGTATCAGAATTCTAGGCCCAGATCTGCATTTTACTTGTTCTCTGGCCTTGGGTGGGGAATCTAATTTCTGTTTCACCATCTATGAAATGGGAATAATAAAACCTGATTCACCAAGTGGTAGGGAAATTTGACTGATTTCTTCATAGGGAGTGGATAACTATAGGGATGGATGGTACTATATTAATGCATAATCATTTTCTTCACCTCCCACTTCCGTAACTCACAACTGACTTTTGTCTCGTGCCAAATTCTGTCCTAAGTTATCCTGGTCTAAATTGTATATCTGGATTATCCCCTTGGAAAGCGTTTCATTTAAGCCAACTGAGTTACTTTGGATTTACACTCACGTAACTGAGAACAGAATTGTTTGTTTTTGCAGATTTTTAGAATGGAGACTTTTACATTTGATTACCGTATATACTCGAGTATAAGCCGACCCGAATATAAGCCGAGGCACCTAATTTTACCCCAAAGAACTGGGAAAAAATATTGACTCGAGTATAAGCCGACCCGAATATAAGCCGAGGCACCTAATTTTACCCCAAAGAACTGGGAAAAAATATTGACTCGAGTATAAGCCGACCCGAATATAAGCCGAGGCACCTAATTTTACCCCAAAGAACTGGGAAAAAATATTGACTCGAGTATAAGCCGACCCGAATATAAGCCGAGGCACCTAATTTTACCCCAAAGAACTGGGAAAAAATATTGACTCGAGTATAAGCCGACCCGAATATAAGCCGAGGCACCTAATTTTACCCCAAAGAACTGGGAAAAAATATTGACTCGAGTATAAGCCGACCCGAATATAAGCCGAGGCACCTAATTTTACCCCAAAGAACTGGGAAAAAATATTGACTCGAGTATAAGCCGACCCGAATATAAGCCGAGGCACCTAATTTTACCCCAAAGAACTGGGAAAAAATATTGACTCGAGTATAAGCCGACCCGAATATAAGCCGAGGCACCTAATTTTACCCCAAAGAACTGGGAAAAAATATTGACTCGAGTATAAGCCGACCCGAATATAAGCCGAGGCACCTAATTTTACCCCAAAGAACTGGGAAAAAATATTGACTCGAGTATAAGCCGACCCGAATATAAGCCGAGGCACCTAATTTTACCCCAAAGAACTGGGAAAAAATATTGACTCGAGTATAAGCCGACCCGAATATAAGCCGAGGCACCTAATTTTACCCCAAAGAACTGGGAAAAAATATTGACTCGAGTATAAGCCGACCCGAATATAAGCCGAGGCACCTAATTTTACCCCAAAGAACTGGGAAAAAATATTGACTCGAGTATAAGCCGACCCGAATATAAGCCGAGGCACCTAATTTTACCCCAAAGAACTGGGAAAAAATATTGACTCGAGTATAAGCCGACCCGAATATAAGCCGAGGCACCTAATTTTACCCCAAAGAACTGGGAAAAAATATTGACTCGAGTATAAGCCGACCCGAATATAAGCCGAGGCACCTAATTTTACCCCAAAGAACTGGGAAAAAATATTGACTCGAGTATAAGCCGAGTTTTTCAGCACAGTTTTTGTACTGAAAAATGCCCTCCTCGGCTTATACTCGAGTATATGGTTAATTGATTCTTTACAAGGTAACATAGTATCTAAATATATATTTTAAATTATAGATCTCATAAAAAACTGACCAGGCTGTATGTCACATATGAGGGCACCATAGAAAGCAATGGACGTGGTATGCTACAGGTAAGTGTATAACAACAAATATATGGCCTTATGTTCTGCTTTTGGCACAGTATTGATGACTGGGCAGTTTGGCAAAGTTATTCATATACCTCCTTGTTATGTTTGCTCTTAAGTAGTGAGATATTTATACAGTATAGAAGAAACAACACAACTAATCATCTTGACAGCCTTAATAGGGTTAATATTCTCCAGCTCACCTTGTTTTTCACATGTGCCTGTTTCCAAAACCATTTGACAGAAAATCACAAGACCTGGACAGCTTCAGGTCATTTAGTTTAGACATGGACTAAAGATTGACAGGAAATGAGTTTTTTGTGTGAGATCTTAACAGGATGTCACAGTTTTTGGTTTTATTTTTTAAAAGCTGTTGCTGTGCCCCTCTAGTGACCAGTTCAGTAGTTCAAGGCTTTTTCTGCTGGCAGCACAGTTGGGTTGGTCTGAGAGCCAGTCCGCTAAAACTGAATTTCTTCTTCATATCCATAAAGAAATGTGTAGTTTTCTTCCACAGTTTGAAGGGGTGATACGTTTAGCTTTTAGAGTTCACTGTAAAAAGTGGGGGTCTTCACCTTTTATCAACAGACATTAACATGTCAGCGTTATTTTTATTTCTTGTCTGGAAAATCAGTTATTTTCTGGTTTGACACTATCTAGCTTTTGTAAAATTGTTGTATTTTATCCCAGTTATTGTTTATCACCATGTTCTTAACTATTTTCTCTTTCAAAATTTGTTCCAAGACCTTGCATAGAATTGAGATCATACTGACAGACCTGTAGTTTTTCATATCACCGGTTTTCTGTCTTTATTAAAAATTGGTACTATATTACCAATTTTTCAGTCAGAAGGTCTGACTCCCGAATTTATGTATTCATTAAAAATCTTTGCAGTTGAACTTGCAATTTCATGCACAGGTTCCTTTAACGTTCTTAGATGGAGATTATCTGGGCCCAACCCAGTTTGGTCCCATTAAGTTGTTTGAATTCCTCCTTGAATGTGATAAATTCTTTTTTCAAATCAATAGCCCCAAAATGGGCAATAAGTGGCCTGCAGAGTTAGCCTTGGTGGACCACCAGACTATTTCCCTAAGCATCTTCAATTACAGCCACTCGCAGCTCCTGTTGGCCACAAATCGCTGTTCCAGTCTCCAGTAGGTGGCTTTCCTTCCTGATCCATCCCATCATCCATTCCTGATGGGCTTTGTACTTAGTAGCCTGTTTGAGATATTTATTCATTCAGTTTGGTCTGTGACCCTTCTTTATGAATTTTTTCCCCTTGCTTGGGAAGTAGGCATGAGATGCTTTTAGCCATGGCTGCAGAAGCTAATTCCAGGCTTCCTCTACATTCACGTTCTTGAGTTTTTCTGTTCAGTCCACTTCCCTAACTAATTCCTCAATTTTTGAAAGTTTGAATTTTTGAAATTAAGGAGCCTAGTTGTAGATCTGTTTTTGTTTATCCTTCTATATAGTTTAAACTGATTCAGCTCAAAGTCACTCAAACCAAAATTTTCCCCTACAACTGGTTCTTCCATGGTCCCCTCACTACTCACCAGTGCAGATCTAAAACCTCTTGTTTGACTGTTTGGTGGGGAAAGCTGTCACATCCAGGAGAATCTGAGCCCCCTACCATTATTAGTAGTACTCGTCCTCCAATCTGTGTCTGGGAAATTAGTCTCCTATAATCACACAATTTCCAGTAATATTTATTTGATTAAAATATTAGTGGTCTCTGTGTATATCTACAACATATCTTTGGAGGTGTCTAGCATTTTGGGTCCAACCACTATCCCAGAAGTACCTCTGCTAACTTTTTTCTCCAAAGTGATTTTAACCTAAATAGATTCTGATTTATCTGTTCTATCACTTTTAATTTCCTTGCAGTCTACCTCATCATTAATATACAAGGGTTAGTGCACACCCTTATTTCTGTGTGTTGACACTTTTCATAAGTGAAAAATATGTGCTTCTGGGAGGGAGGGCTTAAAGCTTATCTATTTTAAACAGTGTCTTGTCTTTGTTTTGTTAAAAAAAAAAAAAAAAAAAAAAAAAGTCTCATCCCATTCAGGGGTCATCACCCAAAGTTTACATTAAATCTCACTAGGCAGAGAACTAGTTATACAATTGCATTACCAGTCTAAAGGGTTTAGGGCATGCAGCTGATGGTCGAGTATGTAATGTGTATTTTTTCTAACTCCTGTAAAATGGGAAAATTGTAAAAGGATGTAAAAATAGAAACTACTATATTTTACTCTAATAGAAGGTTGGAAATAACATGTTCCTTCTAAGGCTCTTGGGCTGAGCATTTTGTCAAATAATGAAAAAAGATAGATTTTAGTTTTTAACTTCTCAAGTATACACACATTAAAATACATAGCCAGGTTAACTTAGCTCTGAAATACAGAGGAAAATGTAACAAAGTTTGGTTCATCTCAGTGGAGTTGTTTCTTAGCTGTGCTGGAAGAAGTTTAGGAGAGGGTTTCCTGGTTCTGTCCTGGGTAAGAACATAAGAACAGCCATATTTGGGTTAGACCAAAGGGGTCCATCTAGCTCAGTATCCTGTCTGCTGACAGTGGCCAATACCAGATGCCCCAGAGGTAGGGATCACAACAGGTAGTCCGCACATGATCCCTCTCCTATCATCCACCTCCAGAGAAACTGAGGCTAGGGATACCATTCCTACCCATCCTGGATAATAGCCATTGATGGACCTAACCTCCATGAATCTATCTAGCTCTTTTTTGAACCCTGTTAAAGTTCTAGCCTTCACTGAATCCTCTAGCAAGGAGTTCCACAGGTTACTATGCGCTGAGTGAAAGAAACCTTCCTTTTGTTTGTTTTAAACTTGCTGTCTACTAATTTCATTTGGTGACACCTAGTTCTTATATTGTGGAAATAAGTAAATAACTTTTCTTTATTCATTTTTCCATACCGTCATGATTTAATAGACCTCTATCATATCCCCCCTTAGGCTCCTCTATTCCAAGCTGAAAAATCCTAGTCTTTTTAATCTCTCTTCATATGAGACCTGTTCCAGCCCCCTAATCATTTTTGTTGCCCTTTTCTGAACCTTTTACAATGCCAATATATCTTTTTTGAGATTAGGCCACCACATCTATACGCAGTATTCAAGATGTGGGCGTACCATGGTTTTATATAGAGGCAATAAGATATTTTCTGTCTTTTTCTCTATCTCTTTTTTAACGACTCCTAACATTCTATTTGCTTTTTTGACTGCCACTTCCACAGTGATACCAAGAGCTCTCTCTTGAGAAGTTGTAGTCCCCATCATATTGTATGTATAGTTGGGATTATTTTTTCCAATGTGAATTATTTTACATTTATCAACATTAAATTTCATTTGCTATTTTGTTTCCCAATTACTTAGTTTGGTGAGATCTTTTTGAAGCTCTTAACAGTCTGCTTTGGTCTTAACTATCTTGAGGAGTTTGATATCCTCTGCAAATGTTTCCGCCTCACTGTTTACTCCTTTCTCTAGATCATTTATAAATAAGTTGAATAACATGGGTCCCAGGACAGACCTATGGGGGACCCCACTAGTTACCTCTCTCCATTCTGAAAACTTAACATTTATTCCTAGCCTTTGTTTCCTGTCTTTTAACCAGTTATTAATCCACAAAAGGACCTTCCCTCTTACCCCATGACAAGTTACCTTTTTAAGAGCCTTTGGTAAGGGACCTTGTCAAAGGCTTTCTGGAAATCTAAGTATACCATATCCACTGGATCCCACTTTTCCACACGTTTGTTGACCCCCCTCAAAGAACTCTAGCAGATTAGTAAGACATGACTTCCTTTACAAAAACCATGTTGACTTCCCCCAACAAATTATATTCATCCACATGTCTGACAGTTTTATACTTTTACTATAGTTTCAACTAATTTGCTCGGTACTGATGTTAGACTTACCAGACTGTAATTGGCAGGGATCGCCTCTAGAGCCCTTTTTAAATATTGGCGTCACATTAGCTATCTTCCAGTCATTACGTACGAAAGCTGATTTAAAGGATAGGTTACAAACCACAGTTAATAGTTCCTCAATTACCCATTTGAGTTCTTTTAGAACTCTTTGGTGAATGCCATCTGTTTGGTGAATGCCATCTGGTCTTGGTGACTTGTTACTGTTAAGTTTATCAATTTGTTCCAAAACGTCTAATGACACCTCAATCTGGGACAATTCCTCAGATTTATCACCTAAAAAGAATGGTGCAGGTTTGGGAATCTCCTTGATATCCTCAGCCATGAAGACTGAAGCAAAGAATTCATTTAGCTTCTCCACAATGACTTTATTTTCTTTGAGTGCTCCTTCAGCATCGTCCAAGTGCTCCACTGGTTGTTTAGCTGGCTTTCTGCTTCTGATTTATAAAAAGGCGGACCGCAGGTATTATGTCCCACATAAGGGTAAAAAATTTCTGTTCACTCACCCACCACCGAATTCACTGGTAGTGGATACGGCTCAGCTGAGGAATAAGAAAACGGTTCTACGCAGTCCGACAAGGACAATAAGAAACTTGACTCACTTGGAAGAAAGTGTATGCATCAGCTACGCTACAAATGAGAGTAGCCAACTACGCCACACTTCTCAGCAAATATGATTTTAATAGTTATGCAAATTTTAACACCTTTATTGATGATATACTAGACAATAAGAAGGTTCAATTCAGAGCAGTTGACTCAGAGGATCAGGCAATATCATGCACAGCACTTCAGGCTACCTTGGACGCAGCTGATATGGCTAAAAGAACAACAGCCACGGCAGTTGTCACGTGGCAAGCCTCCTGGTTTTCGTCACCCTTCCCTCAAAAAATCCAACCGTCAGTGGAAGACCTGCCGTTTGAGGGAGAGAAGCTCTTCTCATCAAAAACAAATGAGATCCTCCACTCAGTGAAAGACTCCAGGGCAACCTTAAGCTCGCTGGGGATTCAGACACCTGTAACAAGGAAAAAACGGTACCTATATCAACAATACCAGACGCCAAGATACCCACAACCTACATATCGCTACCAAAGGCAAGATCACCTGCCATATCAGCAACGTGGCTGTAGTAGACAACAGCGTTGATGGCCCCAAACTAATACCTCCAACTGCCCACCCAAACCAAATAAGAAAATTTGAGCCGTTCATCGAGAGATCAAAAACCATACTACATCCTCCAGAGCTCCCAAATACTACCAAATCCTTCGCTTACTGCCTGCTACCATTTCTTGACAAATGGCACATCATCACATCTGACAAGTGCGAAATAGAGACACATCTTAACAAGTCCCTACAACAAGAAAGGCACATATTAACGAGTGGACTCATTTTGCGTATTGGGCGGCCTCCTGCAATATATCACTGCAGGATGCCCCACTCCCTACAATCCTCGATTACCTACTGCATCTCAAGCAATTGCAACTTTCCTTGAGCTTGATCAGAGTCCATCTGGCAGTATAACAAACTTTCACACACCAGACGATGACACCACAGTGTTTGCGCATACTGTAACTAAGCGCTTCCTAAAAGGCCCACAGGCCCTCTACCCAGACATTAACGCTCCTCAGGAACCATGGGATCTACAACTGGTACTGACGACACTCATGAAACCTCAATTCGAACCCATGGCCGCATGCTCTTTACCCCACCTAACCCTAAAAATGGCATTCCTAGTCACAATAACGTCGGCACGTAGAGTAGTTGAGATGGCCACCCTAATGGTGGATCCACTGTTTGCCATCTTTTTTAAGGACAAAGTTTCTCTATGACTGCACCCTAAGTTTTTACCAAAGGTGCGCTCCCTCTTTCACTTAAACCAAATGACACAATTACCTGAATTCTTCCCAAAGTCTCACACCGGCCAACGCCTTCGAGGCACAGATGCATACCCTTGATGTCTGAAAGGTGCTCTCTTTCTACATCCACAGAATAAAATCCTTCAGATTGTCTCCACAACTCTTCATTTCCATTGCTGACTGCAACAAGGGAAGTCACATATCAGTCCAAAGATTATCTCATTGGATTTCCGACTGCATCACCCTGTGCTGCTCACTCAACCGCTTACCATCACCTACCTCAATCTGGGCACACTCAACTAGAGCGATCCCCACATCAGTCACTTACCCGAGGAAGGTTCCCATGATGACACACGCGTTGCTGTTACATGAGCATCAGAACACATCTTTGCGAAGCACTATGCACTTTCCTCTGGGCCTCTTCACTACACAAAAACCATATTGCAAAAAGCTTACCTGTCCGATCCAAAGTCCCTACCTCTTTAACACAAATTGCTTTGCAGTCACCTATTGTGGAGCTCCCCCAGGAACGTCTCTCGAAGAAGAGGAGGAGGTTACTCACCTTGCTGTAACTAACGTTCTTTGAGATGAGTGTGCCTGGGGTGCTCTACCACCCTCCCTTCTTCCCCTCTACTTCGGGAGGGGGGAGCCTTTCTCCTGCGCTGGGTCCCAGATAGAGAAGGAACTGAAGGGAGGGTGGCCATACATGCACAATGGTGCCGGGAGTGTGGGGGACCGCGCACATGTGCCGCCTGGATGCACTGCTATCAAAAATCTGCTCTGAGGCACTGGGACAGAACTACACCTACTGTGGAGAACCCCCAGGGATGCTCATCTTGAACGTCAGTTACAGCAAGGTGAGTAACCTCCTCTTAAGACACCGTGGCACTTTTTTGCTTCTCTTACTGTGTTTTTTAATTTGGGGTATACATTTAAGTTGGGCCTCTATTATGGTATCCTTGAAAAGTTTCTATGCAGCTTGCAGAGACTTTACTTTTGTCACTGTACCTTTTAATTTCTGTTTAACCAACTTCTTCATTTTTGTGTAGTTCCTCTTTCTGAAATTAAATGCCACAGTGTTGGGCTGCTGAGGTGGTTTTCCCATCACTGGTGGACCAGTTATATTTACCTCTTGAACCAGATCCTGCGTTCCATTTAGGACTAAATCAAGAATAGCTTCTCCCTTTGTGGGTTCCAGAACCAGCTGCTCCAAGAAGCAGTCATTTAAGGTATCAAGAAATACTCTGAGTCCAGTCCTGAGGTGATGTGTACCCAATCAATATGGGGATAGTTTAAAATCCCCCACTATTATCAAGTTTTTTAATTTGATAACCTCTCTCACCTCCCTTAGTATTTCATAGTTGCTATCACTGTCCTGATTAGGTGGTCAATAATATATCCCTACTGCTATATTCTTATTATTGGAGCATGGAATTACTATCCATAGAGAGTCTGTGAAACGTTTTGGCTCATTTAAGATTTTTACTTCATTTGATTCTACATTTTCTTTCACATATAGTGCCATTCCCCCACCAGCACAACCTGTTCGATCCTTCCAATATATTTTCTACCCTGGTATGACTGTGTCCCTTTGATTGTCGTCATTCCACCAAGTTTCTGTGATGCCTATTATATCAATATCCTCCGTTAAATCTCCGTTGATCTGAGGAAGTGGGTCTGGCCCACGAAAGCTCATCATCTAATAAACCATCTTGTTAGTCTTTAAAGTGCTACATAGTCCTGTATTTTATTTCAGCTACACCAGACTAACACGGCTACATCTCTATCTCCGTTAAATCTAGGCGCTCTAGTTCACCGATTTTACTACTTAGACTTCTAGCATTTGTATAAATACCAGCCTCTTATTCCCTCACACACACAGTCCCCTATATAGAAGGAGGCAAGTCTCCCCACTCCACATGATCCACAAACTGCTTTTTGCTTCTTCGGTGGAGAACTAGGGATGGTGGTGTAAAGGGGCAATAACCCCTTTCCTGTCAGTCTGCTGGACAAGCCACCTTTGCAATCAAATGCGGACAACGGACCACCTTCATCAAGCTTGACATAGGGCTTAACATTCAGTGAGGGCAAAGTGGCTCAGTCCTGCTAATTGCATTTCTAAATGCAAGTGGGCAAACGAGAGGCTGAACAGAATGGATCTCGCACACTTATTTATCTTAACATAAGAACATAAGAACGGCCGTACTGAGTCAGACCAAAGGTCCATGTAGCCCAGTATCCTGTCTACCAACACTGGCCAGCACCAGGTGCCCCAGAGAGGGTTGACCAAAGACAATGATCAAGCGATTTGTCTCCTGCCATCCCTCTCCAGCCTCTGACAGACAGCCTGACAGCTAATAGCCTTTTATGGACCTAACCTCCATGAATTTATCCAGCTTCTCTTTAAACTCCATTATAGTCCTAGCCTTCACAGCCTCCTCTGGCAAGGAGTTCCACAGGTTGACAACACACTGTGTGAAGAAGAACTTCCTTTTATTAGTTTTAAACCTGCTACCCATTAATTTCATTTGGTGTCCTCTAGTTCTTCTATTATGGGAACTAATAAATAACTTTTCTTTATCAGCCCTCTCCACACCACTCATGATTTTATAGACCTCTATCATATCCCCCCTCAGTCTCCTCTTTTCTAAACTGAAAAGTCCCAGTCTCTTTAGCCTCTCCTCATATAGGACCCATTCCAAACCCCTAATCATTTTAGTTGCCCTTTTCTGAACCCTTTCCAAGGCCAAAACATCTTTTTTGAGGTGAGGAGACCACATCTGTACACAGTATTCAAGATGTGGGCGTACCATAGTTTTATACAGGGGCAGTAAGATGTTCTGGGTCTTATTTTCTATCCCTTTCCTAATAATTCCTAGCATCCTATTTGCCTTTTTGACCGCCGCTGCACACTGTGTGGAAGTTTTCAGAGAACTGTCCACGATAACTCCAAGATCTCTTTCCTGATTTGTCGTAGCCAAATTAGCCCCCATCATACTGTACGTATAGTTGGGGTTATTTTTCCCGATGTGCATTACTTTGCACTTATCCACATTAAATTTCATTTGCCATTTTGTTGCCCAATCACTCAGTTTGGTGAGATCTTCTTGGAGTCCCTCACAGTCTGCTTCTGTCTTGACTATCCTAAACAGTTTGGTATCATCTGCAAACTTTACTACGTCACTGCTTACCCCTTTCTCCAGATCATTTATGAATAAGTTGAAAAGGATTGGTCCCAGGACTGACCCTTGGGGTACACCACTAGTTACCCCTCTAAAGGACTAGTTACCCCTTTAAAGAAAGGATGTAAAGATGTTTGCCTATTCTGTAATCACCTAGGACATTTTTTCTACTAGGTTGATTTTGCAAACCGTTTTGTTGGAGGTGGTGTCACTGGTGCAGGACTGGTACAAGAAGAAATTCGTTTTTTAATCAATCCAGAGCTGATTGTATCTCGGCTCATCACTGAAGTCCTGGACCACAATGAATGTCTTATAATCACAGGTTAGTCTTTGTTAACTCTCCGCAGAACGTGTCAAATACTTATCTTTGTATTAAATGTGGAATCAGCGTGATGCCAAGAGATTTCAATTGACATCTCTAACAGCTTAGAGGCTCAAACCACTGTTTATGATGATAAATACACACTGATTTATTATTCGTGCTGTGTTTCTTTTGGATCACAAAACTGAGATGAAAAATATTGCAAATGTCTCTTAGCTTGTTTTTTACCATCTGTATTGCTAAGCAAATTTTAAAAGTGTCCTTTGTACCTAGCTCCTAGTTTTCACACTCACTGCAATTCTGTTAGTTGATATTTATCTTTGTAGGCAGGTCTCAAATAAGTAATTATAGTGCTAAGAGATTAATTGCCTAGTTATGTTCCAGTATGAGTTGATGCTAAAAATCCCACTGACTTCAGATAACTCAGTAACAGACTTTGTAGTAAAAGCAAAGCAAGAGACTCTGAATCTAGTGATCTGATTGTAAATTCCACTTAGGGTTTGTTATAACTTAGCTATAATACCTACATTAATATTCATTCTAGTTAATGTCACAGTTTACTATGGGTTTCTTGATATTGAAGTTAATAGCTATAAAGCTTATTGGAGATGTCTAATCTGCACAGTTATGTACAGAACGTTCACTATCCTCACATTTTAGTAAGTCACAAGTCCAGTGTAAAATCTGAAATAGCTTCTTTTTGAGGTAGTCTCATTTTTGGTTATGTTAGTGTTGTGGTCAAGAATAGAGACTAGCTATTAATCAGGGCGGTTCCATTATTAACGTAACTAGGAGATACATAGGATTAACTGATATGTCAATCGTTCACAACTCGCGTGCTTTGCATATTAATCCTTTCTCTTTATAGTGAAATTGTGACATTTATCCTGAATGAATCCAAAGCAACTCTATCTTTAAAAGTGCTCCACTCACTTTATCTGTTGTTTGAAGTGCTGCCACATAAGGGGTTTAAAAATGACAGGTGTTTTAATCTTTGCAGTGTTGTTTTAATAACATATAGCAAGGAATACTTATGAAGAACACAATATGAATACATAAGTAGATTTAACACTACACAGGATTATCATTTTCCATATATGTATTGGCCAAGACATCAAGGATAAAAGGAGAATATTTACACTTAATTTAAGGTCTTGGTTCCTTCTGAAGTCATTGGAATGGCTCCTATTGACTTTGCAAAGGAGGTAGAGTACGCCCTTAGACGTGGACTAAAATAAAATACAATCAAACTTTATAATTAACTGATAGGAAAGATCAAGCTATCAGCAACCTGAAATATTTTCCCTATTACTATTTCTTTCTTTGTGGCCTAATCACAGATTTCTTAATCTGTCACTGTATGTGAGAGAGCAGTGGAAATGAACTAATAGCTTGCAGTGTTTTTAATTTTGTTAAGTTTGAATGTGGTTTGAAAATATTCCAGTTAACTTTCCATTTCAAGTTTTTAAAATGGTGGTATAGTGCACGTATATTAAAAAAACAAATTGACCATTTCCAGAGAAAAAGCCAATATATATCATAGAATATTTTTGTGAACGAGTTACTAAAAAGTGGGTAACAGCAGGCTGACAAGGGAAATAAAACTCATTTATTACACACATCTCTGGAGACTCCTAAACAGTCTCCATGGCTATTTTTTAAGATTTAACTAAAGAGTGCTGCAAAGACGAGTCAGTAAGTAAAAGCAACAATCAGTCACCATTAGCAGATACTTCTGTTTTGTTGGAAAACTGTGTTGTTGTTTTTTTTTTTTTAAATTCCTTCCTGGAATCAGCTACATTTAACCTGATTACAGTGGGAGATTGAAAACTCAAGTCTGAAGAAGGAAACTGACTTACAGTAACCACAAAAAAGGAAAAAAATCAATCAACACAAAAGACCAGAAGAAGGCAAGGCAGTCCAAAAAGTCCCTTTCAGACTGTTGATTTTGCAAGTTATTTAGAAAGAATATGCTCAGGATCTGCACAGTGCCTGGAATATGTTATTTTGAGGCTGCCTACAGAAATGTGCAATCTCCTACACCTTTTCCAATTTGAAATTTACTGTTACTCTTGTTAATATCACTTCTAGCACCAAACCAGGATGGATTAAATTGGGCTTCTGAGCTCCACAGAGTTGAAAGGTGACTGAGCTAGGGCTTTAGGTTATGTAGGGTCACCTTCAATAATCATATGCTCAACTGACTGCTTGAATGGATTGCATCACTGGAAAGTAGACCCAGAGTTCAGGAATAGAAGATGAGTCTGTCAGGGATCTGGGAAAAAGGGAAGAATTTCTTTTGGGCAAAGAGGGGATCAAAATTGGTATGAGGGATGTATATTTTATGGGATCCTGCATCCCTTCAATTTTATTTCAGACCAGAGTTAAACAGTAATTTAAAAATTGTTTTATCAGTTTATAAATACATCTGTGATGACATTTCAGCCATACAGTTAACTAAAATCGTTCTCAGTAGTTAACTCTTGAGAGCTAACCCTAATTGTCCTGTCTTTAAGTGTTAAAACCATAGACAGTGGGTCCTAGAGGGCCTCCAGAAATGCTAGGGTAGGAGGAGGTGAGTTGGCAGGAGGCCAGGAGTGCCAGTGGAAACAAGAGTGTGGGCTTTTGAATTGAAAGCAGTAGCCTTCCTGTTCTGTGATCAGAGAAGCCTGGGAGGACATGAAATAAGCCAGGCATGGAGAACCCAACAACATTCATGCCTAGGGAAGAACTAAATTTTGAAACTACAGATATGTGAGTAGAACAGGGAATGTTTAGTCAGATGTGATCAGGTTTTCTTCTTTATTTGGGGGGTTTGTTGGAATTCTCTGTGTTGAGCATACCCCCCATACACTGTAACTTTCCAAACTGAATCCCAGGAAAGCAATGTTCTGTGTTTTGAATGCTTTCTTTTTAGTTGCTCTGTAACACCTAGCAATCAACTAATGTTTCACCCAAGAGTGTTCTCTGTTTTTGTTTTAAAAGGGTGATTTTTATTAACCGTGATCGAATTCCTGTACCCTAGAAGGCAGGAGGTTCTGTGCACTTGCCTAAGACTGACTGCAAAGCCGAACTACTAAGATAAAATGACCCTCCCTCTGGAGAGAGATTTAACAGAGTTTGAGGGTACCTCACAGGAAGGAATTCCCAAGTGTGCCTGCTTTGGTTTCCAAAGGGGTTTTTGCATTTGGGTGGTGGCAGCAATATCAGTCCAGGGAATCTGTGACTTTGAGGGGTTTTTAACGCAAGCCTTTAGCAGCAGGGTATTTTAAAGTCTCTTGCACCCACTTTCCACACTCAGTGCCAGAGTAGGGAACATTCTTGACAACATCTATGCACATATTTGATGAAACGCTCTAAAAGAACACTTAATTAAAGAATATACTTATACAAAAGATACTGTTTAATACAGTATCAATTGTGCAGGTCTCTTGTATTCTGAATGTTTGTTTTGTTCATTTTATATTTGATTACCTTATATATGGTTGTGTCAGTAAGCAAATACCTTTGAGTATAGTTTATGTGGCATTATACGTTTGTTGTAAGATGACATTTGTTTGAGGTTCTCAGTCACAAGCCTTGTATAAGGTACTAAAAATATTAAAGCATTGAATAACTCCCCCTCTGGAAAGGGTTAGATGTTCCTGGTTAAGATTACTAAAAGGGATGGTAAAGAAAGTCCCCTCCAAGGGAATTCTACATCTGTGGGTGCAGTAAACAAAGATTTTGGGGCAGCTAGCAACCTTCAAAAATGCAAGCATTTGTTAGTAAGGTCAAACAACCATGACTTTTTTCATTCAGACAGTATTCTCCCATTTTTTAAATCCACTTTACTTTATTATAGTGCCGTCTAATTAATATATGTGATGTGATGTTCTGCTCCCTTAATGGAAATGGCCATTTCATCATCCTCATTTGTTCCCTGGCTTTTTTCCATCTTGGGTCTTAGGCAAGTCTTCCCTGTATGCTACTATCTTCCTGATAAATTATATTTTTCTATGATGCATCTTGATGCAATGGCCTAATGGATGTAACTATGCTACTCAAATTTGCAGAAAAGGCTGAGAAATTGGAAAGAAATTAAATTTGTTCTGATTGTACAACATCTGGTTGAGATCATCACTGTAATGAATATAAAACTGGTCATGCAAATGGACAAGTTCTTCAATACACACAGAATTGTCTGCCTAGAGAAATGTTATTAGGGAGTGCTGGAGATTCCAGTGAGATATTTCTGCTGTAGGCTGTATACCACTATTGCAGCTGACAGATTGATTTCCTCGTGAACAAGGCCTGATGCTCTGAATTCAGCCTTTTTATCATGTGGGACCAAGTATGTTCAACAATGTATAAACAGGCTGCTTATTCTGCTGTTTCACTGGATACCAGTGGTACTAAATTGCCTCCCGTAGAGGGTATGATGTTCCAGCCTCTTCAAATTCAGACAATATGGGAAAGAGAAGGTGGGGCAGTGCCGCTTTTCTCCTCCTTTGTAGTTCAGTAATATAATTTACACGGCTAGACTGTAAGCATAGTAAGATCCTGAGTCCTTATGTTCTTTCTAATAACATACAGTTCTTTTTAGAATCATGTCCCAGAGGCTCTAGCATATGGCAAGAATAGTTTTTCTCAACTTCTGTAATTCACAGAAGTACTAGAGAGGATATGTTCTGCCACTTTGTTGTATCTATGCTTCCTCCTTTTATAAGCACCAGTCTCCTCTTATTTCATGGCTTGTCCTCTGAACCTTGGCACTTTGTCTATGTATTTTATTTGGGGGCCTTTTTGCTCTCATTTTCTTGGTGGTTTTCTGTTTTGTGAATGGTAAATTGTCCTCCTGCATTTCTCTACTTGTTTTTTTCCCTGTATTTCTGCATTGGGCTATTGTGTCTACTTTCATTTTAATTTAGATGTTGGAAAAGCTAATCAATAAACCAAAATATATGGTAGAAGATAAAGGAGTCTCTGAAATTCTCCAGAAATGTCTGCAGATCTGATTC